TAGTTTGTCAAGTTCCATGGAAAACTGTTGGGGATTTCAATTCCAATTGACCTGTGTTTGGAGATGAGTTGGAAGTAGGTTGGGGTTTGGTATCTTTATTCTATTAAATTTTACCATCAGTGAACTCTTATTCAACCTGTCCTTTCTGCCATTTAGTAATATTTTGAACTTGTCTTCAGGACATGCTTGCACATCTTTTGTTACGCTTGTTCCTAGATACCTCCTAGCTATTATTGAAATTGTGATTAGGATTTTATTTTCATAATATGGTTCCTAATTGGTTAATACTAATGTATGACAATGTGTTTGTATTTATACATTCAATTTGTGTACAGAAACCTCTCTGAATGCTTTTATTAATACTAATAGCTTTTAGATTCTCTTGGGTCTTCTATGTAAACAATTGTCTTCTTAAAAGCAATTTTGGATTTCCAATTATCAGTTCAGTTGAGTCGCTCAGTTGTGTCCGACTCCTTGCGACTCCATGGACTGCAGCACACCAGGCCTCCCTGTCCATCACCAGCTCCCGAAGCTTGCTCAAACTCATGTCCATCGAGTCAGTGATGCCATCCAACCATCTCATCTTCTGTCGTCCCCTTCTCCTCCTGCCTTCAGTCTTTCCCAGCGTCAGGGTCTTTTCCAATTAGCATTTTCTTTTTCATTTCCTATTCTATTAGTCAGGGCTTGTAATACAGTGTCTAATATATATAATGATAGTGAATTCCTTATTTGTTTCTGATTCTGATGGAAATAATGGTGAGGACAATGATAGAAATGTAATGATAGTCAATGTGTAAGCATGTGCTGTGTCCCACAAATGCAGTACTCTGTCTGCTTTATATACATTACAGAGTTTGATCCTCCAAACTGGTTTTTATTTTATAGATGAGAAACTGAGACACAGAGAGAGAGTGTATGTGATTTCTAAAACGTTCACCGTTAAGTATATTTGCTGTGTTTTTTTGAAAAAATACCTTTCATCAAAAGCTTTTATGACCCTGGTTTACTAAGACATTTAAAAAAAATCATGAATGTGTGGTATTTTCTTGAATGCTTATTTTATGCATCTATTGAGAAGATACTTTTTTCTCCTTTAATCTATTAATGTGGTAGATTATATTAACATTTTTATGATGTTGTACTGTTCCTGCATTCCTGCAGTAAACTCTTAATTAGTTTTAAAGCATTTTTAATTGATTGAATTCAGTTTTCTGATGTTTAAGAGTTTTCCATTAATGTTCAGAGTGAGACAGATCTTAGATTTTCTTTTCCTGTGCTGTTCTCTTATTCTGGTATCCAAGGTTATCCTCACTGCATAAAAAAGGCTGTGTACTTTTCCTTTTTTTTTCTAGTTTCTGAAACTATATTGACTGAATTATACCTGTTCTTAAGAGTTTGATAGCAGTCATCTACAACAGCATCTGGATAGGAAGCCTTTTTTAGGCAAAACTTTCAAGTACAGAGTACTTGAAATTTATAGAGTAAAATTTACAGAGTAAAATTTATAGTTTTTTTAAAAACAGTTCCTGATTTATTCATGTTTTCTCCATCTTCTATCAGTTCCGGTCATTTTTTAAGATAATCATGTTTCATATGAGATTTTAGATTTACTGACCTAGGGCAGTATTCTCTTTTGATTAAAAAAGCTTTAATTTTTATCAAATTAAATCATGTCCATGGTTTAAAGAATAAAATAAATGTGATAAAACTATAATGAATGTCAAGGGCATGATACTGTACTTGGTCTTTGCTAACAAGCTGAGAAACAGGGCATGACAAATATAAAATTCAGGGTAGTGATTATCTGAGAAGAAAGAGAATGAAATGAACACATGAAGAACTTCAAAGGTAAAAATAATTTTTTTAATGAGTGGTGGATATGCAGATAATTTTTGGCATCTCTGTTCTTTATAATTTACATATTTCTTACAGAAATTACTTAAAATTTTCTGCTATGGAAGATGAAGATTTTGCTCACTTCATTGTTTTTGCCATTCACACACACACAAAGACTTCTTTTTTGAATATCAAATTTTTTTCTTTTTTTTGAAGTATAGTTGATTTATAATACTGTGTTAATTTCAGGTATACAACACAGTGATTTGATATTTTTATAAATTATACTCCATTTAAAGTTATTCTAAAATATTGGCTATATTCCCCGTGTCTGGTTTTTATTTTATACCTAGTAATTTTTATCTTTTAAAAAATATTTATTTGGCTGAGCCAAGTCTTAGTTGCAGCATGTGGGATCTTTAGTTGTGGCATGTGAACTCTTAGTTGTGGCATGTGGGACCTAGTTCCCTGATTAGGGATCAAACTCAGGCTACCTGCATTGGAAGCACATAGTCTTAGCCACTGGACCACTAGGGAAGTCCCAGTTTTTATCTCTTAATCCCCTTCTCCTATTTTGCCCCTCCCCTTTCCCTCTCCCAATTGATAACAGCTAAATTGTTCTCAGTATCTGTAAGTCTGTTTCTCTTTTGTTACATTCATCTGTTTTATTTTTTAAATTCCACATAAAAGTGAAAGCATACAGTATTTGTCTTTCTCTGACTTATTTCATTAAGCAAGACTCAATGGACATGAGTTTGAGCAAACTTCGGGAAATAGTGAAGGACAGGGAAGCCTGGTGTACTGCAGTCCATGGGGTTGCGGAGTCAGACATGACTTAGCAACTGAACAAATATACCCTCCAGGTCTATCCATGTTCTTACAGATGGCAGAATCGAATTCCTTTTTATGGCTAAGTAATATTCCATTGCATGTATGTGTTTGTGTATGTGTGTTTCTTCATTATCCATACATCTGTTGATGGGCACTTAGATTGCTTCTGTATCTTGGCTTTTGTAAATAACGCTGTTTTGAACATTGAGATGCACGTGTCTTTTCAAATTAGTGTTTTCGTTTTCTTTGGCTGTATAACTAGGAGTAAAATTACTGGATCATATGGTAGTTTTTGTTTTTAACTTCCTGAGGGACTTCATAGTGTTTTCCATAATGACTGCACCAGTTTGCATTCCCACCAACAGTGTGGGAGGGTTCCCTTTTCTCCACATCTCTGCCAACATTGGTTGTGGTCTTTTTCATAGTAATCATACTTACAGGTGTGAGGTGATAGCTCACTGTGATTTTGATTTGCATTTCCCTGATGGTTAGTGATGTTGAATATCTTTTCATGTACCTATTGGCCATCTGTATATTTTCCTTGTAACACAAAGACTTATTGTTTGCCCATGTTCCCAGTATGATTATATCATAAATTTGCTTTCCATCAATACTATTGTTTATATAATGACTATATGAACAAAATGACTATATTAACACTATAGACAGCTTAGCCATGTAGTAACCTATGATTAATTTACCTTTTCTGTATAACTTTTAGTTTCCTCTGGTTAATAATTGCCTTATTTCTTTCATTTGCTTCTTTCTCTGAGTACTTCTCGCTACTTCAGCTTAAATACTTCATGACCCATGATCCAGAGTGATTTTAAATGTTTTCAAAGCTAAACGTGCTCCAGCAATGTCATCCCTTAGTTTGTCTGGGGCCCTCTGACCACTCCCTTCTGGGTGGATTATCTTCATTCCTGTTTTGTGCAGCCAACATCCTCTTCACCACATCTCTCCTGGTGAAGAGAGATCTCTTCACCATCATTCTGGGAATTCCCTCCACATTCTCATTGTTGGGAGTCCTCATTTGCTTTAATGCCATGCCTTCTTCCACATTTCACTGGAGCTCATTCTTCCAGTGCTTTCCTAAGAAAGAATGTAGGTCTATGGGAGGTAAATTTTTTTTTAGATTTTTGAATATCTGAAAGTGTTTGTTGAAACCTCATCCAAGATGGGGAGTTGAGCTTGGAGTAGAGTTCTAGGATGGACATTTCTTTCCCTTAGACTTATGAAGGCATTGTTCCATTGTCTTCTGACTGAAATTTTCCTTTTAAGAACTCTGAAGCATCTAAGACTTTTTCCCCCTTTATTTCCTGCTTTCTGACATTTTTTCTTGTGTCCCAATAGGGTTCATTTCCACCCATATTGCTGGGCACTTGGTAGGAGACAAATCCCAACAGGGATAGTTGCCCCTTTCTCATGCAAAGCCAAGATGCCGCAGGGCTAGATAGCTGCAGTTCAAGTCCAAGTGGCAAATGAGACTTTTTAGAAAGCCCTTTTCACTTTGTGGGAGATTCTCAGTTGACCCACTAAATAAAAATAGGCAAATCCAGGCATCTAAACACCCAGGAGAAAATCAGGTATTCAGTGCCCCAGGTAGGCTAAAATAATCAAAATAGGGAACATTCCACAATATGCATTCCCAAACGTCAGCCAGGAGCCAAGCCTGCCACGTTAACACCTTGAGGGACATTACCTTTATTGGTGCTCGCTATTTTTTCACGGGGATTGTAGTTACTATATACTGTTTGGAACCGAGTTCCAAGTTAGGTCAAGGTAGGAACAAAACTCTGGAGATGGGGCTTTCAGTGGAGCTCCCTTCAGTCACTGTGATGATGCCAGTTTTCATTCCTTCCAGACCACAGAGTTGAGGAGCCAGGGGTCTAGGGTGGAGGTGGGGGTGGGGAGAAGTAACACCAAGTAAAAACCACATACTTGGCTGTTCTCAGTGAGGTTCACTGGTGGTTCTTGAATAAATGCTGTTTAACGTGGTGTATGCCTTTGGTTAAGTTTCAAAGTCCTGAAATGATAGATTTTTATAATTTTGCCAATATTTTCATTGCTTTTAAGGGGAAGACAATTTACTAAGGTCCTCACTCCACTGTTCCAGAAGCCCTACTTTAAGGCATTTCTCTTAAAACTGCACAAAAGTATAGAAAGTCATAGTCATAAGAAATACTATTGTAGTTACCTTCCAATAATAGCAAATGCTAAGATTTTGTCATTTGGTGGGGATTTTTTTTTGTTTATAAAAGAAAGAGGTTTACAATAAAGGTGAAGCCTTCCTTTTCCCCTCCTGAGTCCTGTTGCCTTCATTCCCTCCATAGGCAAACGGTATCATGAATTCGGTGAGTATACTTCTAACCCATGTTTTTATTTGCACCAGTAATCAATAAATTTGCACTGGTAATCAATATAGCATTCTTTTTGTAACTTTACCAGATTAGTGCCCTAGAAACCATAGGAGGTCTTTCCACAACTAATTTTCTGTATTCAGTATTCACCTTTGAGTTTACCTGTGTTAGATTTAGTTCATTTATTTTAACTTCTGTATAGCATTCCAACGTCTCAGTATCAAAGTCCACCAATCTAAGCCTCTATTGGTGGGCATTTAGTTGTTTCTAATATCTTGTTGCCATTATTTTACATGTACATATTTGCAGAATTTCTCTGTGGTGTAACTGTAAGTAGAATACATAGTAGAATATATACATTTTCAACATTATTCAGATGTCTAACCTTTTTTTTCTCATAAATAGAATCAATTTGTCATGTATATTTAAGAGTTTTGCATCTATGTAACTGAAATTGCTTTATAATATTTTCATATTCTGTCCTTATTTGCTTTTGGCATCCAGGTCATTCTGTTTTGTATAACATAAGCATTGTTTTACCAATTTTCTTTTGTTATTAAGTGCCAGGCGTATCTGTCTGTGATTTTAACATTTCCCATTTTGTTGTAATTGTCTTTTAAAAACACATGGCTGATTTTTAAAAGCACAATTTAATATGGTTGGCCTATATTTAATGGGTTTAATATTTATTTATTGTTCTATTACTATATTTATATTTCTTCTTTTAGAGGAAATTGTATTTTCTAAAGATCCTGCTTTTCCTTTACCTCTTTTCATGCCTTTGCTGGATTTTCTTTACCCTCCCCCCATACCTTTTTCCCCTTTACTCATTGTCCTCCTAAATAATTCAAGTACAAAGCATTATTCTTAGCAATCTTTGTGTGTGGCAAATTCTCTGTCTTTTCTTGTCCAAAAGCATCTTTATTTTGTCATCTTCCATTGCAATAATTTAGCTGGGGATAGAGATATCTAAGGTTGTCTAAGGTGACAGCTTCTCTCAGGACTCTGAAAATATTCTTTTGGCTTATTTTTTAGCTGATAAAATCTGTTGTTGATCTAATTGTTTCTTTATAGGTGATTTTTAAAATTTCTTCATGGTAGCTTTCAATACTTACTTTCTTAAAGTCTTACAGTTACACAGAACTGTGTCTCAGTACTGTGTCTCACCACTCTCAGGACTCTGGATATTCAAGGGTAGGATATAGGCGATATATGTATACCTATGGATGATTCATGTTGCGGTTTGACAGAAAACAACGAAATTCTGTAAAGCAATTATCCTTCAATTAAAAAATAAATAAATTTTAAACAGGGATAAGATACATGACAGAAAACTCTCATTCATTATTTCTTCAAATGCTGCCTAGATTGGGGGCCCTTCAAGACCACTGCCCCATTCGGAGATTCTTGAGAGGGACTCCCAGGCCTCGGCATCTAGCTGTATATACAGCTAAGATTATTACAGCTATGTAGTAAGGATATACAGGCTTCCCTGGTGGCTCAGCAGGTAAAGAATCTGCCTGCAATATAGGAGACACAGGAGACACAAGTTCAGGCCCTTGGTCGGGCAGATTCCTTGGAGGAGGAAATGGCAACCCACTCCAGTATTCTTACCTGGAAAATTCCATGGACAGAGGAGCCTGGCAGGCTGTAATCCATAGGGTCTCAAAGAGGCAGACACGACTTAGCGACTGAGCAGTAACAAATAAGGATATACAACTAGAGCCTAAGGGGAGAAGGCAGAAGCAGAGTCTGGAGGACTCCATGTAGAGTTCCTTATGTTCTCACCCTCCCATCTAGGGTCACACAACACACACTTCTCCCAGCATTGAAAAGGCAGCAACATGTGTGTGTTTGTGCACAAAGAAGCCCATTAGAGACTCAGCATCTATACATACACAACTGCCCCACACATACCAACATTTCAGACTCCCAGAAGGAAAGCAGATCACCTTGTTTGTATAAGCAGCCTTATCAGTTAGCAAATGGTGGGGACATTCCTGAACTCTAAATTCCCAGATGGCAGCCAAGGGCCAGCCTTGCAAGCTGGCCTTTCTAAGTATAGCAGTCTCAGTGTTGCTCTAGTAACCCATTTATTGGCATATTGCCTCTCCCTTTTTCCTTAGTCCTCTATTTGGATTAGCTGTTAAACCTATTCTGGAACTTATCATTTCTCTATTTCTCTTACCATATTTCCATTGTTAGCTCTTCATGTTACATTCTGGGTGATCTCAACATCTGTCACCTAATTTGTTAAATCTGTCTTATGACTAGATAGAAAGTAGGTAGAGTTCTTCCCTTATTTCTTTGAACAGTTGAAATATATTTATCTTGAAGTCCACATGGTTTTACTAGGTATAGTTCTAGAAATGGGGGTATCTTTAAATATATCTACTGCTTCTCTTTCATAGTAGGTCATTTCCTTGTGAGGTTGATAATTTTTTACTGTTAACTCTTCAGTGATAATTGGTATTCCATAGACATCCTGTGAGCCCTAAGCTATAATACAAAAAATACATCTTTTGGAAGGCGTGCCACCACTGGGAACCTGCTAATACAGGACAAATTTTTAGTCTAATTTTTTAGCTTAGGGGGCTCTCTATTACACTTATAATCATTTGGATTGAGTTACAGAACTAGGCTTTTGATTTTTTTATGTTATTAATGTATAATTGACTTACAGTGTTGCCTTACACTCTGCTGTACAGCGAAGTGAATCAGTTATACATACATATATTCCTTTTTATATTTTTTTCATTATGATTTATCACAGAATATTGAATTTAGTTCCCCGTACTATACAGTAGGACCTTATTCATTCATTCTATACATACTAGTTTGCATCTACTAATCCTAAACTCCCAGTCCAACTCTCCCCCATCCCCCCTCCCCCTTGGCAACCACAAGTCTGTTCTCTATGCCTGTGAGTCTGTTTCTGTTTCATATATAGGTTCATTTGTATCATATTTTGGGACAAGGCAATGGCAACCCACTCCAGTACTCTTGCCTGGAAAATCCCATGGACGGAGGAGCCTGGTAGGCTGCAGTCCATGGGGTCGCTAAGAGTCGGACACGACTGAGCGACTTCACTTTCACTTTTCACTTTCATGCATTGGAGAAGGAAATGGCATTCCACTCCAGTGTTCTTGCCCGGAGAATCCCAGGGATGGGGGAGCCTGGTGGGCTGCCATCTTTGGGGTCGCACAGAGTTGGACATGACTGAAGCGACTTAGAAGCAGCAGCAGCAGTATCATATTTTAGATTCCCCATATAAATGATTTCATATGGTATTTGTCTTTCTCTGACTTCACTTAGTATGTTAATCTCTAGGTCCATCCATGTTCCTTCAAATGGCATTACGTCATTCTTTTATGGCTGAATAATATTCCACTTTGGGATATATATCTTTTTTACCCATTCATCTGTCATTGGACATTTAGGTTGTTTTCATGTCTTGGCTATTATAAATAGTGCTGCTATGAACATAAGGTGTATGTATCTCTTTGAATTAGTGATTATGTCCAGATATATGCCCAGGAGTGGGATTGCTGGATCATATGGCAACTCTTTTTAGTTTTTAGAAGAACCTCCATATTATTTTCCATAGTGGCTGCACCAATTCATATTCCCACCAACATTATAGGAGGATTCCCTTTGCTCCACACCCTCTCCAGTATTTATTTGTAGACCTTTTAATGATGGACATTCTGACCTGTATAAGGTGGTACTTTATTGTAGTTTTCATTTGCATTTTTCTGATAATTAGTGATGTTGAGCATTTTTTTCATCTACCTATTGGCCATTTGTATGTCTTCTTTGCAGAAATGTCTATGTCTTGTGCCCATTGTTTTTTTGTTCAGGAAAATGTTTTTATTGCCATATAATTACTTTACAATGTTGTGTTAGTTTCTGCTGTACAACAGAGTGAATCATCCATATGTATACATATATCTCCTCCCTCTTGAGTCTTCCTCCTCCCCATCCCATTCCATTCTTCTAGGTCAAAACAGCACCAAGCTGAGCTTCCTGTGTTATACAGCAGCTTCCCACTAGATATCTGTTTCACACATGCTACTGTATGTATGCCAGTGCTATTCTCAATTTTTCCCACCCTCTCCTTTGCCCCTTTGTCCAGAAGTCCATTCTCTATATCCACACCTCTTTTCCTGCCCTGAAAATAGGTTCACCAGTATCATTTTTCTGGATTACAGATGTCTGCATTACTGTATATTTTTCTGACTTACTTCACTCTGTATGACAGACTCCAAGTCCGTTCACATCTTTATAAAACAACTCAAATTCATTCTTTATAGCTAAGTAATATTCCATTGTATATATGTACCATATCTTTATCCCTTTATCTGTTGATGGACATTTAGGTTGCTTCCATGTCCTGGCTATTGTAAATAGTGCTGCATTGAACATGGGGTGCATGTGTCTTTTTTTATTTTTAAATTGGAACTCTAAAAATTTATTTGTGTATGTGTGCTCAGTCATATCCAATTCTTTGTGATCCCATGGACTATAGCCCACCAGGCTCCTCTGTCCATTTTTCCCAGGCAAGAATACTGGAGTAGGGTGTCATATCCTTCTACAGGGATCTTCTCAACCCAATGATCAAACGTGTTTCTGGCATCTCCTGCACTTGCAGGCGGGTTCTTTACCACTGTGCCACCTGGAGAGCCCCCAAAATGAAATGTGTTAGTTGCTCAGTTGTGTCTGACTCTATGTCATCCCATGGACTGTAGCCCACCAGGCTCCTCTGTCCATGGGGATTCTCCAGGCAAGAATACTGGAGTGGGTAGCCATTCCCTTCTCCAGGGGATCTTCCTGACCCAGGGATCGAACCCAGTCTCCTGCATTGCAGGAGGTCTCTACTGTCTGAGCCACCAGGGAAGCGGGCCCCCCCCCCAAATTTATTTGTCCATTTATTTGTTTATGGACATCCTGGGTCTTTGTTGCTGTATGCAGGCTTTCTCTAGTTGCAGTGTAGTGGCTTCTCTTATCATGGAGCTCAGGCTCTAAGCCCATGGACTTTAGTAGTTGCAGCATGCAACTTCAGTAGTGAAGGCATATGGGCCCTGGAGTGTTCAGGCTTCAGTAGTTCCGGTGCACAGGTTTAGTTGCTCCACAGCATGTGGGATCTTCCCAGACCAGGGATTGAACCCATGTCCCCTGCTTTGGCAGGTGAATTCTTAACCACTGGACCACCAGGGATACCCAAAATACACTTTCTTCTTACCTGAGAACAGTTTTTCAAACACTCAGTTACCAGCCTTTCTGTGTCTATCCTTTTTTCAGGAAGGCAGAAAGGATCCTTAGAAACACCTCCTCCTTGCATCCCAGGGCCCTCCCTTGACACAGTACTCACCAAGGACAACCTGAACCACAAGATGACCAGCATGACCCTTAGGCCCATTTTTTGATTAGGTTGTTTTCTTGTTATTGAGTTGTATGAGCTGTTTGTTTATTTTGGAAATATACAAATTTTGGAAATATACAAATATAGTTTGTATATTTAAGCCCTTGTCAGTCTCATCATTTGCAAATATTTTTTTCTCAGTCCATAAGTTGTCTTTTCATGTTGTTTATGGTTTTGTTTGCTGTGCAAAAGCTGGTGGCTGAGATGATAAAGAATCAGCCTGCAGTGCAGGGGACCTGGGTTCAATCCCTGGATTAAGAAAATCCCCTGGTGGAGGGCATGGCAACCCACTCCAGTATTCTTGTCTGGATAATCCCCATGGACAGAGGAGCCTGGTGGGCTACAGTCCATGGGGTCACAAAGAGTTGGATAAAACTGAGTGACTAAGCACACATGATTTCATTTGCTGTGCAAAAGCTTATAAGTTTCATTAGGTCCCATTTGTTTATTTCTGCTTTTATATCTATTGCCTTGGTAAACTGACCTAAGAAAATATGGATACGATTAATGTCAGAGAAGTTTTGCCTATGTTCTCTTCTAGGGGTTTTATGGTATCCTGTCTTATATTTAAGACTTTAAGCCATTTTGAGTTTATTTTTGTGCATGGTCTGAGAGTGTGTTCTAACTTCATTGATTTACATGTCATAGGTAATTTGATAGGTATTGCATTAAATCTGTAAATTCCTTTGGGTAGTATGACCATTTAAACATACTAATTTTTCCAATCAAAGAGGATGGGAGTTTTTTTCCTTCAGACCATCTTCAATTTCCTTTATCAATGTTTTATGGTTCTCAGTGTATTAAGTCTTTGACCTCTTTGGTTAAGTTTATTCCTAAGTATTTTATTTTTTGATGTGATTTTAAAAGGAATTTTTTTTTTACAAAAACAGTTTTTCAGTTTTTCTGGTATTTCACTGTTAGTATAAAGAAACATAACCAGTTTCTCTGTGTTAATCTTGTATCCTGCTACCATGCTGAATTTATCAGTTCTAGTAGTTTTTGTGTGGAGTATTAAGGGTTTTCTATATATAGTATCATATCAGACTTTAATTTCTTATATATAATATCATTCTTTCCAGTTTCCTTGACCAGTGGGGAGTCTTTCTAGTTCCTGTTTAACAAGCATGGATACCCTTTGTGGTTCCTACTTTAAGTGAAAATTACATTCCAGTTTCCTGAACATTTGTGCTCTGTGGTCTGGATTCCCCAGTAAACCCCCAAGCTTCAGTTTCTGTTTGCCCCATCACCTTAAATTCCCATTTCAGTTTTGATGTCTAAAATTTATATTTTCTTGGTCTTGAGCTTGACTGGGAATTAAATTATTTTTGTTAAATATAGGCCAGCATTTCTTTGTATTTACAGTTGAGGGAAGTGATGGAGTATAGGGAGGGTGGTGGAATATAGGGAGGGTTTATTCACATCAGCTCAGGTCCATTAATAGGAGTTCATAGCAGTGCATTTATGAATGAATTTTGTCCCATGACATTATCATAGAAATACTTACAAGTTTGATGAATCATTGCATTTTTCCCTAGAGTTATGGAAAGTTAATGACCAGACAGATAACCACAAGGAAAGCCAAGACAAACCTCTATGGCAAGCTGCATCCATAGATAAGGAAACACTGAAGGATAAAAGTGGCCAAGAATTCAGAACATATGGAGAAATCATTTATCCAAGCACAGGCTTTGTTTCTATAGGACAAAGACTCACTAAATATTATTCATGGGGAGAGTGTTCAAAACATAATTTCATTTTTCTTAGTCAAAGTAGAAGCTGTGTAAGAAAGAATGGTGATGAATGTAAGGCATATTGGAAATTATGCTTCCATTCTAATCTTGATAAAGCTCAATCTGGAGAGAAATTCTTTGAGCCTAATGAACATGGAAAAGCCCTCCACCCTAAGCAAGCTCTTAATAAAAGTCCAAGAATTCAAAATGGGGAGAAACTCTATCAATGTTCTGAATGTGGAAAAGTGTTTATCCAGAAAGCAAACCTTGTTGTACATCAGAGAACTCACACTGGAGAGAAACCTTATGAATGCTGTGACTGTGCAAAAACTTTCAGCCAGAAGTCAACCCTAATTGCACACCAGAGAACTCATACAGGGGAAAAGCCATATGAATGCAGTGAATGTGGGAAAACATTTATCCAGAAGTCAACTCTGACTAAACATCAGCGAACTCATACAGGAGAGAAACCTTTTGTATGTGGTGAATGTGCAAAAGCTTTTAAGAGTTCATATCACCTTGTTAGACATGAAAAAACACACATTAGACAAGCATTTTATGAAGCTATCAAATGTGATAAGTCCAGCCTTATATACCAAAGGACTCATATGGGTGAGAAACCTGAGTGCAGTAAACATGGAAAAGCCTTTGATGAGACACCCACACCCATTGAACATCAGATAACTCATACAAAAGAGACACTTTACAAGTGTAGTAAATGTGGAAAAGGTTTCAGGGGAAAGTCACATCTTTCTGTTCATCAGAGAGTTCATACACGAGAAAAATCCTATGAATGCAGCATATGTGGGAAGACTTTCAGTGGAAAATCACATCTCTCTGTCCATCATAGAACTCACACAGGAGAGAAACCTTATGAATGCCGAAGGTGTGGGAAAGCATTTGGTGAGAAGTCAACCCTTATTGTACATCAGAGAACTCATACAGGAGAAAAACCCTATAAATGCAACGAATGTGGGAAAGCTTTCAGTGAAAAGTCACCACTGATTAAACATCAGAGAATTCATACAGGAGAGAGACCCTATGAGTGCAGTGAATGTAGGAAAGCATTCAGTAGGAAGTCAACTCTCATTAAACATCAGAGAATTCATACAGGAGAAAAACCTTATGAATGCAGTGAATGTGGGAAAGCTTTCAGTGTGAAATCAACTCTCATTGTACATCACAGAACGCATACAGGAGAGAAACCTTATGAATGCAGAGAGTGTGATAAAGCCTTCAGTGGGAAGTCAACTCTCATTAAACATCAGAAAAGTCACACAGGAGATAAAACCTATTAATATACTTATTAATAACCTATGATATAATAACCTATTATGATAACCTATTAATAATTTATAACCTATTAATATAGAGATACTTTCACTAGTTATACCTCATTATATTATATATCAATTCATCCTGGGGAGTAACCTTATAAATATCAGGAATGTAAAAAACTTCATATGCTATTTAATGTTCATTTAACTTAAGAAAGAGCACAAAAGCATAATTCCAGAAGCATCTGATAAATGTGACCAATTTTTCATCCAGAATTCTTACACGAGTGGAGAATTATATATCAGAGTGACAAAACTGAATATATTGATGTAGAAAAGAATTTAGAATTTAAATGTCATTGACTATCAGAGTATGCTGAAAAGAAACTAAGAATTTAAAGTGTAGAAAACTGTTAAAGAAATTATGAGAGAAATATGTTCCATATTTTATACCACACATTTTGTGGGAAAGGTCTAGAGGTTCCAAACAAGCATGCAGTAATTAAGACATGTTCACTGTGGAGTAAGTATGACATTTTTGAAAGAAAAATATAAAGTATAAAATTACTAATCCTAGCTATGGCAAACTACGTTCACTTCTTAAACAAATAGGAGAGGAGGGAACTAAGATGGTGGAGGAATAGGACAGGGAGACCACTTTCTCCCCTACAAATTCATTGAAAGAACATTTGAACGCTGAGCAAACTCCACAAAACAACTTCTGATTTCTAGCACAGGGCATCAGACACCCAGAAAAGCAGCCCATTGTCTTCGAAAGGAGGTAGGACAAAATATAAAAGATAAAAAGAGAGACAAAAGAGGGATGGAGATCCATCCCGGGAAGGGAGTCTTAATAGAGGAAGTTTAAAGACACCAGGAAACCCTCTCACTGGCGGGTCTGGGGGAAGTTTTCGAATCTCGGAGGGCAACCTAACTGGGAGGAAAAATAAATAAAACCCACAGATTACATGCTTAAAAGCAACTCCCAGCAGAAAAGTACCCCAGACGCTCGCATCCACCCCCAGTAAGTGGGGGCGGAATGGAGAGGAGCAGGCGGCAGTGCTTAGGGTAAGGACAGGGCCCGAATGCCCTGAGGGCAATTGGATGGAGCTAACGTGAGATAGCAACTTAAACTGTGGGATCTCAAGAGAGAGAGAATTAAGTTGGGAAAAGCCCTAAACTTAGGCACTACCTGCTGGTTCCCAGAACGAAGGACTGAGCAAATACCAGAGAAGAGCTAGCTGGCTGCGGACTGGCCCATCCCCCGCTGGAGGCAGGGGGGAGGGGAAAAGGGCAAACTCGGCCCCAGAGACGGCACCCCCTACCAAACTGCAAACAGGCTTCCAGCTTTTAACCAAAGACTTCCTTGAGATTCTGGATGGCCAACATATCTCGGGAGGGTCGCAGCTAGAGTCCAGCTCCCCAGAACTGACACAAGGCGCACCCAACCGGCGTGCACGGAAACTCAGGCTGGGACCGCGGAGGGGAGAAGGTGCCCTGCACCCGGGGAGAGTGCGCTCATCAAGCTCCTGGCTGCCTGAGCTGCTCTGACCGGGGAAGGCACAAAACGCAGGCCCAACTGAGTCTGTGCTATTGTGGAATACTCAAAAACCTGAATCTGAGTGGCTTAGGCCTGGGAAGTCCACGCAACACAGGACCCGCTCCCTGGAGAGCAGCCTGGAGCCTGAGCAGTGTAGACGGGGAAAGCACACACACCCGCCCCGAGCAGGGGCAAACACAGTGTGGCCAGAATACTGCAAGTGCTCCCCACACATGCCAGTGATATTTGTCTGCAGTG